CTATTGATAGTGCAGAAAAAGGAAAGTCTATTCAGCAGTCAGAAGCAAAAACTGTGGAAAGGAAAGAAGAAACTGAGAGAGTAGCAAGAAAGAGAGCAAGATCAGCAAGGGCAAGCAAGCAGAGTGCTTCTTCAACTCCTTTGAAGGTGTATCGTAAGAAGAGAAAACTTCTTCTAAGAGATGAGGATGTAGAGTCTGAACACCTTGAAACAGGACATGATGTTGGTCCAGATCATGTCTCAGCATCTGCTGCACATGTTTCAGAACCAACACCTACTTCCAAAATTTCAGAACCAGTTTCTACTGCACAAGTTCAAGCACAAGCACCTGTTATAAGAGCTTCAGAACCAACAACTGAAGACTCTAATCTGCTTCAGATGGCACAATACATTGCTCCACTGAGGACAAATGTAAGTCAGTCTTCCCTTAACACTGAAGAACATGCTTCTGCAGACTATGCACCTTTTCAAGGGGAGATTCCAACAGAAACAGAAACTGGGTTCGATCAGACTGAACAAGCCAATGTCTAGAAACAGCCCTCAGACAATCAGACCATTCTAACCCTTCTACTCGAAATCAAAGACAAACAAGCTACACTTGAACAAGACGTGAAGAATCTATCGAAAATTGTTGAGAAAAACAATCAGACTCAACGTCTTCAGGCAGCAAAAGACAAAGCAAAACTTGAGACAGCTATTGCTCTGTGCTCAACAAACATGGAGAAAGCTATGGGTCAATGTTCTTCGAAGATTGAGGAAGCTGTCTCCATCTTAGAAAACTTTCAACTTGTTCGAACCCCATCCAAGAAATAGCCTGCTTTTTACCTTTTTTAAAAAACCATTGCTTTCAAAATTGGTCCTGTAATTTTTTTAACAATCCCTTTTGTTAGACTGTTTGGATGGTTTATATCAATGCTTTATTCTATCTATTATTCTTTTTGCTGATGATAAAAAGGGGGAAAATTTATATGTAGATAAATTGCCATACTAACATTAAATATGCAGATCATATGCAGGTTATATACAAAGGAAGAAAAAGACACAGATCTCAATAGAGTTTGCTCTTTCAATCTCAATCTGTGCCTCATGCGCTTAATATGCTTATTTATTTCAAATTAATTTCAAATTGATTCAATCTACAAGGAAGTTTTGTCACCATAAAAAAGAGGGAGATTGTCGAAGAAAACTCCTATTGATTTTGAAGTTGACAAAACTTTCCATGTTATTGTAAATCTGATGCTTATTCTGAACTATTTTATTCCAAGTATATAGGCAAAAGGACACTATAAGTGCCATAACTTGTGTACGGAGATCACTTTGGTGCCATAACATTTTTTCGGATCACTTTGGTGCCAAGTCGGAGGAAAAAGGATCACTTAAGTGTCATAAGTTTTTTTTGGATCACTTCAGTGCTAAAATTTTTGAAAAACGATCACTTAAGTGCTAAAATTTTTTAAAAACGATCATTTAAGTGCTAAAATTTTTGAAAAACGATCACTTAAGTGCCAATCTCCGGCGAGCCACGTCAGCTTCAGAAATTAATAAAAAAAATGCCACGTCGGATTTCCGGCGAAAAATTGTGTACAGCACCGGAGTTGGCACTTAAGTGATCGTTTTTCAAAAATTTTAGCACTTAAGTGATCGTTTTTCAAAAATTTTAGCACTAAAGTGATAAAAAAAAACTTATGGCACCAAAGTGAGCGCCGTACACAAGTTATGGCACTTGTAGTGTTCTTTTGCCCAAGTATATATATTCTGGAAGCTCAGAAGGAAGTTTTTCAGACTTTACAAGCTGTTAAAATGAGTAGTTCAGACTTTAACATAAAAGAGATTTAGACTCAGAACGAGAAAGTTTAAATTCAGAATGAGAAGTTCAGACTTTAACATAAAAGACACTCAGACTTTATAGATTCATATCTTACTGAAGACCCACATAATCTTAGTTCTGAAAAGCAGACGCAGAAGTTATTCAGATGCAGACGCAGACGTAGAACTCAGAACGAAAAATAACAGCTAGTGATCTGGTATGGATTTCATAGAAGAAGGTTTTTGATTGTTTCAATCTAAGACTATAATTGATTGACAATCAAATACTATGACAAGTATGTATTACAACGGATAAAGCTTTACTTATGGAAACTAAGATTCTGATTGTATGGGCGACCAGAATCAGTGGGATTCAGATTTTGTTAACCAACGACTACTCAATCTATTTTATATAAATCTGTCCAAGATGAAGATTGGAAGATGATTCTCTGAAGACTGTCCAATGGCTAGTTTGGTAGTAGAGGAGTATAAAAGGAGATCTATAAGAAGCAGAAAGAAGTACGAAATCGAGAATCAACAAGTCCAAAGTCTGAGCATAGTCCGATCCTTTCTCTTGTCTTTCTTGAGCCAAACATTAAGATCTTGAGGGATACTTTGTAAAAGTGATTGTGTGATAGAGAGTCCTATCATACACAAGAGTGCTGTCACTCAAAAGCTGTAATTCCTCTTGATTACATAGTGAAATCCAGCCGGTAGGCTGTCAGCGTGGGAGAATGGACGTAGGCTTGCTATAAGCCGAATCACTATAAACTTGTGTGCAGTTTTTCTATCCCCTATCTCTTACTTTACATAATGCATATCAAGAGTACTATCTATATAAACTATTTTGAATCTGAATTTTATTCAGACTCAACTGTGTTCATTTATTTCCGCTTAAATTATTAAAAATTGTTTAAGATCACCTATTCATCCTCTCTAGGTTATCCTTGCTAGCTATATCATTTTTAACTTACAATCTCTTTATAACCTATATCTTAATTTTAAAACGAACCCGGTTATGACCCATTTTCATAACTTCGGGTTCAGATATGGATTTCTGACATATTTTGACAGTTCTACGGCGAGCCAAAAATCTTTCTTTCTTCCCGAAAAAGGGTGTTTGATGGTAGTCAAAATGGCAACATCTATAACCATTATATTGGCAAATTCAGAAGCCATGTTACAATGGGGGTGAGCTTGACAAAGGAAAGCAAAATCCGTCACCTTGATTAATTGTATGATTTATTAAAGATTTGTTATAAGATTTAAAGGTGGTGGCTTCTACGATAGGGGGGCGCAAAATCACTTGAAAGTTTAGTATTAACAAATCGTTGCTGTTGTCCACTGTCGGTGGGGACATATTTGTGTGCACAGCAATTGTCAAAAAGAGAGAAACTTTTTGGGTTACGAAACCATGGTTGTTGCGAGGGAGCTCTGCGACCGCACGAAATGGGACCATTACAGAACACAGAGACGCCCATCAAGCTAATCCAATGGATGCCGCAATGGGTTTCGTTTCCTGCACCTAAGGAAGCGATAAAGGCGAGCGGAGAGGGAGAGTACCTGGACAAGGAGCAGCCGCGGCCGAGGGGCTACCACCGGTACTTGGCGAAGGAGAGGTCGGGGCGGCCGTTCCTGAGGCATTTGAACTCGCGCTCGATGAAGGGACAGACGGAGGAGTTGTAGAGAGGGTAGGATTGGTCCGCCACCCAGCTCCCCTGGAACACATCACACTCGGGGTCCCTGTTGCCGCTTCCTAGCGCTGGTTCTCAGCCCCAGGTCTCTCCCCATATCAGCAACGTCAAGACCAGTTTCCAATGAAAAGAATGCGAAGAAGAAGCCCATCTGCATTGCCTCTGTACCCACCAACCCCAACCCATTTTTTCCTCACAGCAACATAGCAAACACAAAAGTCTCTTTTTGCAGAGAGAGAGAGAGAGAGAGAGAGAGAGAGAGAGAGAGAGAGAGTTTGGATTCTGGGTTAAGATTTAAGGTGGGGGTTGAGAGAAACCACAGGTTATGGTCCACTGAGATACAGGCGTTTGTTGGATTCTACTTAATGTACCTTCTCTGGTTTTTCTTTTCTGGTTAGTCGCTTAATACAGGATTTGGTTTCCATTTTCGGTAGAGTGCTGGGTTAGGAATCATAGGATTTAGGAAGTCGCAGCAGATTTGACCTTTTTTTGGCTTTGCTGAGCTGTTGTAGTTGTAGGAGTAGCAGCCAATCACCGCCTTTGATGTTGACACTTCAGCTTGGTGGGGACCACCACCTCGTCTTGGGATGTCAAGTTAGTCATCTTGGATCTCGGGGGGAGCAAACGAGCCCATTGAAATTCAACTTGTTTGATTCCTGAGAAAATGACATAAATTGTTCATGAATTTTGATTCAATATATAATGTGGTCCCTAAACTTTTAATTTATTGAGTGTAGTACCTGAAATTTAACTCAATATGCAATATGATCCATGAACTTTTAATTTGTTCAATGTGATCTCTGAACTTTTGATATATGTTCAATTTAACTCATAAACTATATGAAATAATATTCAATATAATCATTTCGTTACTTCAAGATCAAGGACTACATTAAATATTTTTATATAGCCTAGGGACTACATTGAACGTATATTAAGAGTTCATGGACCATATTGAACAAATTAAAAGTTCACGGAGCATATTGAATATTGGGCCAAAACTCAAGGATCACATTGAATAAATTAAAAATTCAAAGACCACATTACACATTGAGTTAAAGTTCAAAAACTATTTGTGTCATTATCCCTTGATCTTTTGATAGAATGAAGTAATCTGCTGATGAGGTAATAATCCGTTTGGAAGAAATAGTGATCACACTTGCAAGTTTCTACAGATTTTTTTTTTGTTGTAAATGTAGTAATCCCTTCTATCGTTTACCAAAGATGGGATAGATGAAGTTGGCTGATCATCATCCACACTAAAGAGAGAAACTCCATTTTCTTAAAACAATTCACGAGTAGCAACATATAACAGGTCCAGCTCGAGAACAAAACACATCCAGACCAAGAACGTGCTGCTTCGCACATCTCGCCATTCAAACAATGGCTAGATTCCCACCCTTGCAATGGCAACCATCCACATCATTAATGTGTGAAGAAGTCGTAACATCGTCTCTGTACGAATAACAATATCGAAAGAAACAACATGAATACAACCATCAAACAACAAGCCTTCAGTCTTTTGGCTTTCCCCAATAATTAGTTCACAATACACAATTATTGCACTGCATAATAGTCGTCGTTTTCTTTATAGTATCGATACCTTCAATTTCAAATGCGAACAAAAGAGAAATTCGAAGCGAAATTTAAGAGTTCCTTTCGATGGATTACCAAATAAAGCCCTAGTTCTTTGAAAAACGAATTAACTTAGAAGATAGCAAATTATTTCTTATTTTCTGTTCTGCCAGTAATCAGTATCCAGATTTATCGGATAGAGATCATTAGCAGATGTAGAAGAAGCGGTTCCAGTCCATGACCCTTCAGTGGACATGCTCTTGGTGATGTTCTCAGAGACTTCCTGATCTTCGTCACCTTTGAAATGCTTCCTCATCGCCTCAATTGTCTCCTCTGTTGCGATAGCACCCTCAGAGTCCAGCACTGGAACAGCGACCTTGCCTTCAAGCATGCTAACCACAGATGACATTGGCGGCCTGAGTGCCGGAGTCGCATTAGTACACAGCAGAGCTACCTTTATCATCGCCAACACCTCCTCTTGGTCAAAATGAGAACCCAGCCTCCGATCAACTAGATCCATCAAATTTCCTCTCTCCTTCAAAAGTCGTGCCTAGAAGTAGAAATAAAAAGGAAGATATTTCCCTCTCAAGCTTCAGGTACTGATCAGTCACAGAATATGCTTAGAATACTAAAACAGGAAGAAAGGAAATAAATTCTGCCCTCAATAATTCCATGACAAAAGCAGTTGATGAGCACCTGCTAGCTTTTCATCTTCGTTTTAAGTTATAAATGGAAGGAAAAAATCTAAAGAGTCGATCCAGATAAAACATGATTTCTTTACCAATTTTAAGTAAAAGTTACTAAACTCAAACATTAGTTGATCACTTACTAACGGTTAACCGGTCGCAAAAAAATTACCACCACTGATTTAAAATTACCAGCTCTAATCGAGTTTTACAGGCAGGAATTATTTGTCAGTTTGTCATTACATGAAACAAACAGTAGAATCGTCCATCAATGGTTTACACCATTCATTGCCTTTTACTCTCAATTCTAGTTTAACAAGAATTACCTGATTATGCAGCTTAGGTGAAAATCAGATTTAACGGGGACTAATAATGATTGGTTTACTCAAAGCGAAATAAAACCTAACGTAAGGACTCAATTATATGGATGCCATTTAAACTCAAATCCAAATGGAAAGTGTATGAATATTTGGGTCAAGACATGGTCTTGAAAACTTTTTAAATCCCATAGTAACTGTCAAAACTCGAAAGTACTCGAAGAACTCGTTTGGCGCTAATGAAACTATAGGGAGTAAGAATGTCACGCATAAAACTATAAGGACTAAAACTAAACTAACCCAAATTTTAAGGAACCCAAACTTCAGTGAATAGAATTGTCTTCAATCCAAAAAAGAATCTACACGATTCCTTCAAATCAGGCGGTAGCCCGTTGTTTCGAGTTTCAATGTGTCACTAGGTAGGTTCCAGTTTCATTTTCTTAGAACCAGACTAATCGGTGACCGCCCCCACCCCAAGTTGCACATCTTAAGCGTGAACACCATGGACTAGCTATTGCAAGGATTACTTTCTCCTTTCAAATTCAGTGTAGACCAACATAATAAGAAGAACTGGATTAATTTGAAATGACAGATTGCACTTAATGGCATGAAAATTCGTTTAAAAAGGTTTCAATAGCCGGTAATTGTAACTCTCCTTTGCAACCATTAAAAGTGCATATGAGGAGTTATATGCTATGTTCACGCTTCCTTAATCCATCTTTCAACCAGCACAAGCAGAGATTTAAATATGGATACTATCATAATAAGAAACTTTAGAATGCTAGAGTTAATTACCCAATCGAGAAGATAAAAGCATTTCTCCTTCTTTTGGTAACTGGTGTTGGTCCGACCACTAACAACTTCTAAGGCAACGATGCCAAAACTATAGATGTCGGCTTTGTCAGTGAGGTAACCGTGCATCGCGTACTCCGGAGCCATATATCCACTGCATAACAAGAAAAGAGCTTGTGGTAACAAGGCAAATATCTTAGATAGCACTTAATATTTTCTTCCAAACATACATTTTGCTCGTCCCTCTTATCTTCCTAAAATGCAAAATAAGGAGATATTCCTAATTGTGACATGGTCTCAAGAGTCGAGGAAAAAACAAGTGCCTCCTAGAAATTTTTTAACAGGATTCCACCGACAATATTTCAAAATAAGAAAGGACATTTGTGGTTCTATATAACTTTCAGGGTACATGTAGCTTCGTAGTTGGAAACAGGCCGAGACAAGGTCTGAATACATAGGCAGCAGCTGTAGGGGGATTTCTAAAGCCAAGCCCAGGGGCAAGAAAGCTTCGTAGTTTTGTTGTTGTCGTTGTTGCTGTAGCAATAGAAAAACATCCTTTCACTTTCTCACTAGCTTTCTAGCCCTTGCGATTCACATGCTTGCCTTGTAATTTTTCTTTCGTTCTTTTGTAATTCACTTGAAAGTGCATCGTCTATGTTTATGTCTTTTGAATTATATCTACAAAAAAATTGCACTTTTCATGCAAAGGAGTATATATAGATAATTTATATTGAAATCTTTAACATATAGTAGTTGTTCTTGTTCATTAAATTGTTTTACATTAAGTTGATTGTCATTCGAAAAATATAATAAAAAAATCAAATTACATGTCAATATAGGTTGTTAAAATGTATTGCACCATAATTCTATCGTAATATTTTCATAAGCTTTTTGTCTGAGTGAATATATTAGGTAGGGCATACCGAATTACCTTACGAAATGTTTTTCTTGAATTGTTCTTAATGTGTTAAATGAAGCATGTAGAATATGATCAATCTTTTGAGTAAAATCTCTGGTAGGGGGATAAAAATTTCCCAGTAGTTCTATTACATCATCTTAATTTGTTGAGATAATGGAAATTAATTAATGTTATAGTTCTTTTTCGTTAAGCAATTAATTTTAGAGTTAGTAGAAGGAACTTGCAGTTCTATCTTTTCCCTAATTAATCGCATTCTTTTCATAAACAGGTTGACTTTCTACACATGTCAATACAAATGTCTGAAACATTTGAACATGTTTATTATATGTTTTTCCGCGTGTATATGACTTCTACATGCAAAAAATAGTTTCCCTATATAATAATCAACAGAAACATACGCGAATTAGCTCTATTACCTATAATATCAACTTATATTTAAAATTAACAATTACATAAGTTAATATTAATGGTAGAGTATGTGATATAATTAACATTTTTTACTACTTTACGTGAAGAGTGGTGGGAGAGGCGTGGAGCTTTGTGGTTAAGCCCCATTTGTTGAGCACCGTGCTTTGGGATGATGTGAGTCGACCACAAAGCTCTATTCAACTCACTTTTCTTAAATGAGACTACTATTCTATCCTTTTATGCTGTCACTGGCTCCTAATTAGGTTAACATGAACATAAACCAAGAAACTTACTAAGTTCCAGCGATCTTGGTGCTAATATGCGTGTTGTCCTCCTCATCAAGCTTTGCCAAACCAAAATCTGATATTTTAGGGTTGAGATCCTTATCCAATAAAACATTAGTAGCTTTGATGTCTCTATGCACAATCTTCAGCCTTGATTCTTCATGAAGATATGCCAAGCCCCTGGCAATACCCACGCATATCTTGTGTCTTGTCCGCCAATCCAACTTTAACTGAAATTCTTCAGGACCTTCAATTGTATTAGAAGACACCAAAACTGCTTTACTGTCATGTCATTAACTGAAGTCAGAGAAGCACAATGTGATATCAAATTACCGAATATAGCACGAGCAAGACTGTTATTTTCCATGTACTCGTAAACCAGCAAAAGTTGATTTCCTTCAATGCAGCATCCATAGAGTTTCACAAGATGCGGATGTTGAAGAGCAGAATTCATCCCAAGCTCAGTTACAAACTCACGATTTCCTTGCTTTGACTTGGACGAAAGCTGCTTCACTGCTATAGTGGTGCCATCTAACAGAAGACCCTGCAATTGAACTTTGGCATCAGATCTATGCTGTGAAGATTTAGACATTAAATGCTGCTTTCTACAGATCTTTTCTGTTGGGGATTAGGGGAAATTGGTTCGCCAATTTTCTAACATACCTTGTATACAGAACCAAAACCTCCTTCTCCAATCTTATTGGCTGCATCGAAATTGTTTGTGGCAGCTTTAATCTGTCGCAAGGTAAATGAACCAATTTGCAATGCTAGAACCTTCAAATCTGCACAATGTTTTGGAACTTCTCAGAATTTGGAGGAGTCAACAGCTAAAGTATGTAATCTACTATTTGACAAAGACGTAGCAATTCCTTCACAATGTACCAGAAAACCTTATTATGACTATTTGGTCTGAGCAAGTTCAGGACAGTATATCTTAGCATCTTGAAAATGATCTTCTAGGAAGCTCTGGCTTCGGTTGGCAGTATGTACTTTGAAAGATGAAATGAGAATGTCCTCAGGGTATTTAGTAGTGGGGGAAAAGAAAAATCATAGAAAAAACCCACTTTGGAAACGTAAGGCAAGGTTTGTATGTTTCGATGTCTGGTACATCCGAAGTTCCAGCTTTTATTTTCGATGTCTTGAAACATAGACTTAGTATATATATGGTCGATCATGCCCCCAAGGAGACCCAATACACACACACACACACACACATCTAAGAAACAATCTACAGTCCTCTTCCTATACCTATCTATCGCTTCATTTTTAGGATTTTTAAATAAAAATTTAGTTCGTTGAGTGTAACAAATGGATCAATGGCACGTTAGCTGTATTATGGCTTAACAATAATTTGTTTTCTTTTTGTGTCAAGTCGAATTTCCAATGTAATGCACAAATGTCGTGCATCAACAGTTTTACAGGAGAACTGTGTAACCTAGTTGCAGTGTTGAGAAGAAGAAGAAGAGTCGCGCACCAACAGTTCGACAATACAACTGTGTGATTTAGCTGAAATATAAATGATGCAATGTGATTACACCAACCCCCCACCAAAATAGGGAAGGGGGAAAATGTATTCAGAGTGCATAACATTCTCATATTTCTTGACAGATATATGTGAACTAACTAACAGAGACTCCAGGTAAGCAACTACCTTGTGCCGTTTCATCTTCACGTCCAAGACATCCTCTCCACCAAAGGATAACCAGGATAAGAAATACTACAAAAACTGTAGCAGCCACGATCCCGACCACTGTGCCAGCAGATATTATGGCCGACTCTCGTGGGATTTCAAAGCCTATAGTGAAGAAAGAACAACATATTTTTACTCAAAACTGTTCAAGCAAATGGGGTAGACATACATGCAGAAAAATATCTATAGCTTCTTGGTGAACAGAAAACAATAGATGGGACAGCACACAAATTGAGAATCAATAGGACATGAGAACCGCTCAGAGTACTCCACAGAAACTATTATATTAATGAGCACATGTAGATATCATCTTTGGAACATGTAATACTATATACAAAGGGAAAAAGAAAAAGAAAAATAAATATATTTTTCATTCTCAAGGCTGTTCTATATAATACAGGCGCAATGGTCGTTGATCCATAGTAGAAAAGTGAACGAGGCTATCGTTTCATAATCTGAATCCAAGGATTAAAGATACACAGAGAAAACATGCTTAGATAGAAAGAAAACAAAACAAACCATAGCCAATTTTCGCCTCTTCAGAGGCAAATAATAGATCCTAGTCAGCTACTATCGGATCAACTGCAACAGATGCCCATGGACTGAATCCAACAATGGACATTTGCAACGAAACCAAGTAACTGAAGAACCTATTGATGACTTCTGGTGCAAGACTAAAATGGGTATTTTTTTGTACAATAAGAATACGAGTAACTTTCTCAATAGAGAAGCAACAATTGAAACATGGAAGTATCTGTCTGCATACCTGGATAGACGGAGATAGCAGATATAAGAGGACCATAGACTCCTTCGGTAGGTATAGCATTGGTTCCTTTCCCAGCCCAATACAAGCGTATCTCCAGAGTGCCCTTGGTCACATTGGCAGTAAAATTTCTTATGACCTCTTTGCCAACTCCACCTGCTTCAATCTCAATATTGAAATCTTCCCACACCAATTTCCCCTAAAATAATATTTAATCTGATTCAAATTGAGTGTCTCCACACTATCACCTTCAGTCTCAATAAAATGTAGAATTTGTGATCAGATCATGATTTGCAAATACGAGATATTTAGATAAAACAACCCAACCATAACATATTGAGCGCTTTATATGCTTTACATATTAGAAGTAGCACTCCATGATGCCCAAAATTTACCTGTATATAAATATTAAAAGCTCGCCTTCCAAGGCTTGTATAACTTTCGTTGCCAGTGAACATTATCTCTGCAAAATGAAGGCTTACATGGTAGGTCCCATTCATCAGACAAAAACCATAATAAGTTAGAGAGATAGGAGAAAGCCGTGCTTTCGTGTAAAGTTGGGCATTATCCATGGACAGTACGGAATTATTGTCAACTATATATTGATCTGAATCTTTATTGTCATCAAGGAAGTGACCAGTGCTACTGTAGGCCCAGTTATCTCCACTCATGCCCATGTAGTTTGAAGCTGTAGGCGGCATTGAGTCATCGGCGTATGTGATGTCCCCTACTGTTACTTCATTCCCACCGCAATTTATGAGGAGTTTATTCCGACCTGGATGGAGTAAAGAAACAGCCACAAAGAGAAAAATCAAGTTTGTTTTTTCTTTTTCTTAATACGGAGTGGACTTTCCAGACACATTAGATTAACTTGCATTCCCTTATTGGAAAATCACATAGAGACTCCCAAGTTTACGAGCAAATTATTATTTCATAGAGGCGCCTTTTGAAATTTCTAGAGTAATTATGCACTAACCATCAAAGATTGACACAATAGCCAAGAGGAGAGTTGACAAGGAGATAAATTTGATGAGAAAATACACAGAGAGTACGATAACATCAGGATCTGATGATAATGATAGAATATACAGCAGATCAACTTACCTTCCTGACAATGCTGACTTTTCAAACATGAGACAAGTCCACTTGTGGCAGGATATGAGGTTCTGAGCAAGTCAGTAAAATTTCTAAAGTTACAATTATCATCGTTCTGAATGAAGTTCCATGCTAAGTACATAAACAATTAAAATTCAAGTCCTTGGAAATCCAAGTCTCTTGGTGAAAAAGTAATCTCAAACATACGCATTGTCAACCGCTGAGCTTGCGAACAAGTTGCTGTAGAGAAAAGACAAGATCAACATTCAGTAGAGAAATGGAAATCTTGTACACATGCAGGGTTATAAGTTACTCATAACCGCACATTTGAGGGGAGCCCTGGACTTAGACGGAAGGAAGTAGTACATACACATTTCGTACTTGACATTCTGGGTCTCCAGCAGTGAAGTTGTTGTATGATAGATCACTACACAGAGAAATAGTCAACCGTTTCCAAAGTATCATCAATTTAAAGAATACACTGAAAGTCATTCCATCAAATGATTAGTATGTACAAAAAGGGAGACCAGTTGCAAAATATGGACAGGTAAGGCAAAGTTGAACGGCGAAAACATCACAAGGTGATGAAAGTAATATTTAATCTTTATTCAAGATATCTTATATTAATTAATTGAAAGGAGAAAGACCAATTGGAGTCAACGGAGACTCTAGAACTAGTTGGAGTGCATAAATACATTTTTACCCACTAACATTACAACAGACATGATGTATAAGGCAAAACAGCAAAAATAGAACCGTGATTCCAACACCTACCAAGTCAGATCATCTAATTAGAAAATATCCAGACCATTCAAATGTCTAAACTACCTCAGAAGAGCTTCAATCTTACGCCCATAAGATAATATCAACTTACTTTTAGGTACACTCATTTTGGTTGTAGAATTTCTCAAATAGACAAAACTATAAACATGCCCAAGCTACTAATCATATTGTGCGGGTGATGCGTTAGACAAACTTTCAAAGAGGATTTATAGGAAGCAAAAATTTTCCAAATGTTATTTTTGTCATTCCAAGAGGTTTGAAAAAGATCTGGAGCTGGGAAGGGCTTTCTGTATAGGGGAAAGTGGGGGCTAACTTGGCACTTCCAAGAAAATCCACTTTATATTCTTTCATCCATACCATACAATTCAGCCTCGTCTTACATATAACTTTCCAAAAAACAGATGCCAACAGGGAGAAAGGTACTTATGATGTTTCCATTTAACTCCGTAAGCTACAAACCATAAAGATGCAAGATAGGAATCCACAATTGCTTACTACAGTGCAAGATTAGCGAGATAGAGCTAGAAGCAAATTCGTGATTAAACAAGATGGGTAGCAAAGCTTACACATTTTCTGCTTTCTCCAGGATCCAAGGAGGGACTACCCCAGTCAATTGGTTTCCAGTTAGATAGCTAAACAAGATTATTTGATTGAGTCAGTTCCTCGTGTACTTTACGCACTCAAACCGAAAAATTATAGAGTTCTACCTCAAAAACCCATTATTTAGCAGATTAAAATCATTTAATTATTAGAGGTCTACAAAAAAATCAGTTAACTCATGATATCAATATAGAGCTTTCAACTGGAGATGAAAGATAAAGGAAATCAATGACAGAGGAAAAACCTGATCCTTGCAAAACTTGGAGTGCATGGGTTGCCATAACACTAGTACACAAAGCTGAACGTAACGAAGGATACTATCATACTAGCTTATTAACTATTTCCTCGCGATAATGTTCTTGTCCTTCTAAGACATAAAATAAATAACGAGGGAAGATGAGCCAATGTCAAACAGTCAATCGTTGAGCAGAAAGATGAAAAGATGTGCCACTGTTAAACAGTCCAAGAAGCTTAGGACTTCAGTTTCTCATCATTTTCAAGACCAGGGACAAGACATCAAGGTCCTATCTGCAGTCCTTCTAGATAGCACGTAAGAACTGCACTCACCAAACAATCTAGGGCCATTGTTGTGGATGGAAAGAACCAAATAGAGAGCCTAAGGACTTTTGCCATGTTTAATCTCCTATACATCATTAAACAGGCGCACACAAGATGCATTAAGTACATACACATATAGCTGTCAAATACCTAAGTATCACTAATCCATTTAACTTTTACAGCGTAAACAAGTAAATCTATTGAACCTTGTGAATCAGCCTCTTTAAGCAACAGAATGTCATCGATCTATGTCTGCTCCAAGAGTAGAGTACCCCCAAAAAAATTAGTTGGCAATAATCATAAACTCATAGCCCAAATCATTGAAAATTTGGATGGTGAAATAATAAGCATTGAAGACACGAGGACTTTAGGGGTTACAAACTGGACATGTTATCGCGGTCCAAGTTCTATCAATAGCTCAACTACTTTATAGTAAGAGTTGCCTATAGCGTGGCCACTCGAACAACTTGAGATTTTAGATTCTTGTACAAAATATGAAAAAGAAGCCTAAGTTCAGCATCAAAGTACTTACATATAAGCTACTTTGTCCAGGCTGCTGAAGGAGCTAGGGATTTTGCCACTCAGTTTGTTGAAGCTGAGGTCTCTGCAAAACAATTGAATGGAAAGGAGACGAATATAATGAGAAGATAGTTTTAACTGACTCCCACCGGACACTCTTTAAGTATACTTTGGAGGATTGTACAAACAGAGACAACATCAATGAACCTACAGGTCCAGTTTAGATGTTTAGACATACAGGTCAACTGCCCGGTGCCTATGGTTTCCACCAGACATTCATATCCAGAGGCATTCATCGCATAAAATTCATGTTCATTAAGTTGGTCACACATTGTAAATATACAAGAATTCTGCGGTAAATCAAATTTACAACTTGGAAATATCAATTTATATAACTAGAAATGCTATGCGGGCACTAAATTGAATGCATCCCTTGGCATGCAACATATTATAGTTCAAATTGGGAGATTCCATTTATCTAATAGGACCAAAACTAAAGCTAACCATAATTTATTGAACAGATCTCCTTCATAACACTTTATTCATGAATAAAGGGATGGCGATGAAATACTAGTGCTTAGAAAGTAGAATATTAGATTGAGTGAATAAAAAATCAAAATAAAGTGAGGATTTCAAAAAAACAGGAAAGCATGATAGTGCAGTCCAATATATTGTTGTTGGAGAAATTACAACCTAGTTGAACCTAAAGAAAAGGAAATGGAGTATATGATAAGCCGCAGCAAAACCACAGAAATTAGGTAATTCAAGATGTCAGAAAATCAAAGAATAAGCGTTGATGGCGGATGATGACAGAATAGCAAAACATTGCTGCTAAATGTAGCATTTATAAAATCTTACGGAGATGAACAGATGAATAAGAAGAATTGACTTGTATAGAGATGCACTTGAAGCCATGCTCTCGTTCGAACTAAGAGCGTCATGGCTGACAAATATACGAAAGTCAAGCATAAACTCCAGTTAGATCTTGTGGGGCTGAGATTCGAGAATGTAAACCGCTAGAAGGAAAGTTTTCAGACAATCAACCACTAGAAGTCTCCATTTTGCCTTAATGCTCTTAAGAAGTTAAGATAACAAATCAAAGTAAAAGTAAATTAGACGAAATGGGCACCACAACCAAGGTCAGAATTCTTGTGGTTTCTATTCCTGGAAAAGTGAAAACAAAGAGGGAGAAGGTCCACATACTGTATATTCTGCAGCAAAGGCCACAATCACCAGAAACTTATAATGCCACATCACAATCCACAATTCAGCAATATCAACAGAAAAGACTAAAACGCCAATGAAGTCAGTAAGGGACCTTCAAGCCATCTTAAGTGGGTTCTTTAACGGTAACAGATAGTCAATCATAAACTAGTAGAAATTTCACTCATTAAGGGCAAAATTATCTATTCTGCTTGGAACAGGAAAAGGCGAAAGCCGTTTTCCACTCACAATATTTGTAGGTTCGTCATTTTTGCTAGATAATCAGGTAGCTTTCCCATGAGATTGCAGCTCCTCAGTATCCTATAAAAAAAAGCCCTGATATTGTCACATTGGTAAGACGATTTGGCTCTTTTGCATAAACTAGACTATCAGTGAAGGAGCATCAGTCTCACAGTATCTTAATATTTGTATTGCTAAGTTGTGGAACTTGGGACTCAGGTCCATCGAGGTCAGTTATTCTCCTGCATATCAAAATCAAATAGGGAACTTTTTGAGATTGATACCATTTTAAGGAAAGGAGAGATAAGATCGAAATACCAAAATTCCATACTGACAAGTCAGACAATTTCTCCAAAAGTGAGATCCCGGGGGGAATTGGCCCTTTCAATCCACTTGCTTGAATAATCCTGATCAAACAATTCTTAGATTGAATTATCTTAGGGGTATATCTATATAGACCGACTTAAAAGGTGAAGAAGCATTAAGCCTTACAGTTGGTCGAGATTTTTCAAGTTCTGAATAAAATCAGGTATCTTTCCCGTGAACTGATTATCACTGAGTCGCCTACAGTACATTAAACAACAAGATTCATATGAAGAAAAAAGAATAGAAGTGTCTAAGTATTAGCAGAGTTTATGGAAACTCGAAACTAACAGCTCCTTCAATGTCATCAATTTAGCAAATGTTTGAGGCAGCTCCTCAGTGAAATTATTTGACGTAAGGTGCCTGGAACAAGAAAATACCAATGATAACACATTAGTTAATTGAACATGAATGCTGATCTCTCAACAAGATCACTCCAATGGATAAAATTCCCTCGCCAAATACAAAATCATCAGCAAATAATAACTCGATGCCGAACACAGAAATTTACATCAAGAGACTCACAGTATACGTAGCTGGGGCAAGTTCCCCAGCTCTGGAGGAAGAGGTCCAGAAAGCTGATTGATCTCGACAACTCTGAGCATAAGAGAGTTAATATCTTCAACATCAACCAAATTTAACAAAGCGAAGAGGCCAAACGCGAGCGGCGGGATGAGTGATCACTTACAATTTCTCCAGTGTGGATATGTTCCCCAGCTCCTTCGGGATTGGACCAATTAGTCGGTTTCCGAGTAGAGAACTGCACTAATATCATCGCGTTTCTCCAATCAATAGAAGATACACTCGTGTGTGTGTGTGTGTGTGTGTGTGAGAGAGAGAGAGAGAGAGAGAGAGAGAGAGAGAGCACATACATGTTGACCAACTTCGTAAATCCCCATTCTTTAGGAATAGTTCCATTCAAATAGTTGCGGGTGACATCACTGTTTACAGAGAGATGATGATGATGATGACGACGACGGCGACGACGACGACGACGCTTTTGAAGAAGAAGAAGAAGAAGGATGGATGGATGATAATGGAGGCTTACAAGTTTAGGAGGGAAGGCAATCGAAACAATCGAGGCGGAAGAGACCCGGGAAGAGACTGATTCTTGAGAACTCTGTTTTCACATGATAATTCTTGAGATTAACTCCCACATAGATCACTAATATATGACTTATTATATCATATATTTATTTGTATTTTAATTACTCATTCATGATTATAATTAAATATTCAGTGATTAGTGTAATACCTCTCATATATTATCAAGATATTACAATGACATACGGTTAGGATTTGTATTTAATAAAAAATATGTTATTCTTTATTAAAAGTAATTGATGACATAAATAATAGTACGATTGAAATAATAATTATATAACAATTCGAGCATTAATTCACATAATTAGCAATAAACATCATTATTGATGAACGATACAAAATTAAATTATGACAATTTAGATAACCTACCTAATAGTAAGCAACTATTATTACTGTTTTAATGAATTTAATACAATAAATGATTATATACTGTCAACATAATATTTTCCTATTATTTAATATCTTAATACGAAACTTGAGCGGCGATGGGACTCGCTTGCAAATACCACTAATTTAAATTGGAACGTTATGGCTTTACCAAAAACTCTAACGATCTCCTTCCTGATCAATTTTGAGAAAGCACCTTTAGCCAATTACCCTAGTAAAACTACCCCTATTTCTTTTAAAGGTATATCATTGTCGAATTGAAAGTTTGACAAGAAGTGGATCATATAACTACGACATGATAGAAATTACAAGGGACGACATCTCTTGTACTCTTTTTCTTCCTAGTTCATATTTATGGTATCAAATTTTCAAAACGAAAATTCTATTCGCAAGTGTGGCTTATTTTGACAGGTAAGTTTCAATCGCAATCCTTGAATTCAGTGGATTTTGCAATCGAACAGTCGAACTTTGATTTCAGTGCCCTAGTCCAATGAAATTTCACATTCTTTTTTGTACTCAACACATTTTTTGACCCAAAAATATGTTAATCTTTTCGGTGAAATGTTAACATGGTGTCCAAATCAATTCGGTGTTCACCACATCAGCCAGCTGACTTTATAACAAGATAAAAAGATTGGTGCGCAATCATGTGATTGATATCAAAGTTTTAGCTATAGGAATCTATGATTGTAAAATTCACAAAATTGAAATTTTTCTAGCCAATTTATTTGGAAAGAGAGAGAGAGAGAGAGAGAGAGACATGCTGACGACATGGGAAACGGTGTTATTGTCGACGTCGGTGGAATTTTGGCAGGTGACGGCGTTGGAAGTTTCATCACTCGCTTTGTCGCCCCCCCATCCACCCTCTTCCCCGCATGGATCTGCGGTGAAATCCCAGTCGTTTTTTCCCAACGTCGCTGCTATTTCTCTCAACGCGTCCACTGCAAAGGATAAAGAGCCGACAAGTCAAAAGAGAGCGATATCTCATGCAAAACAAGCACACACTTTGTCAGATTCGCGTGTGCTTGTGGTTGAATATATGTATAATGCCTTTCTTTGCCTTATGAAAGCACAAACAAATGCAACTCGGTGTACGTGCGAGCCCAAAACAGGAGGAGGAGGAAAAGGAACAGTACGGTGAAAGCGGTACAAGATTGGTGGATTTCTTTATTTTCTTCTCACCTTCGTCGTCGGGCAGAAGAGTGGAGGCAGCAGCAAAGTGAATAGCGCAGAGAAGGACGAAAATAGAGACGAGAGATCGAGCCGAGAAGAGAATCGTCATCATTTCAGTCTCGAGCTCAAGCCAGAGAGAGAGAAAGATGATTGTTAAGTGAGTGGTCTTAGCTTCATGCATTTATGTACGAAAAGAGGAGGGGGCACAACGCTCTTGTACGTCTGCATGTGAGGGCGAGAGCGATGTCCGAAGGTGAGAGAGACGACGACCCCCAAGTCTTCCTCGAATGGATGCATATTCCATCTAGAAGAATGCAGTAGTAAAGCTTTTTGTCCAACCTTCTTGTGTAAATTTACCTTTTTTTATAGAAATGATTAGCTAACGGTTTTTAATTTATTTTGAGAATAACAGCCTGGACCACAAAAAAAACAAAAAATAAATAATTATAAGTTGTCGTGAGGTTTACTTCTTCAAGAATTTGTGACTCACAACATGTTACTCTTACAGTGGCTAAAAAATTGTTATGCTAGCAAAGCTCATTTTTTCATACCGCCGGTTTACCTAATAAAAGTCTCTTCATTTCTTAAACCCTCTTTTCATTTTGTTATTCCAATGACAAAAATCTTTCCATTGCTCTGATTTTGCAATTACCACGTCTCAAATTTATAGGTAATTATATAGTCTGTCGATGCCGGAGTCCAAATTCCACGATTCTTAGAAACTTCATTTGTTTATTAAGTTGTATGGAAAATAATTAAATTCACTCTTTTTTTGGACAAATCCTTTTTCTCCTCTTTCTTTTTACTTCAGTTGTAACAATTAATATACTTTTTTTTAAAATAATCCAGGGGTATGGTGGCGGAGACCCGGTCATGTGGAGGCCAATGAAACAACCCGCAAACCCTATGAACAAGTTAAATCCAATTCTTCAGCTCCCGACCTAAAATAGTTTGCACACAATTTGTCGTATTTTATATGTTGAATATAATCAATGGAAAAAGTTGTCTTGTCAAAGTGGAGCAAAAAAAATCATATATATGAAGTAATAATACTTCAGGATTTTTTAGGACAATAAACGAGTTGTACGGTTGTGGAGTCCAAATACCTTGTACCTTAGTCTATATCTCATTCATTAATGGTTGCTTGTACATTAGCATGTATGAGTCTCTATGGATGTTGACAAGTGTTTCAACCCATTCAAAATGGAATCATTCAAGATAGATTAATCCAATTGGGGAGATGCATGTGTCCGTGCACGACTTTCTTTGTTTTGGCATCCAAAATGGTCAAATGATTATTTTGACCTTTCCCACCAAAATAAAATAAAACTCAAATATCTGAAAAATTATAAAAAAGAGATTATGAGAGAACTATTGTGGCAAAAGAGAGTTTCAAGTGCTTATAAATTTATAAAAAAAAATCAAATTATGTGGGTAGCTGTCACTTAGAGATTTGAAGAATAGTCATCGTTGAAAAAGGCTGAAATTTCCAATCACAGTACGAGTCATGGAGTCATCGACGGAGCCAATGCTCTAGATTTGATCGAATTTGGAACCAGATCAAGGGGGGGTTTTGTACTTCGACTTGCTTTTGGCCTAGCATGGCCTCTTTTATCTCCGTTCCATGTTATAAATGTAAGACACCAACCGCAGAAAAATCACGGCACGCGAACCTAAGTTTAGACTTGGACGAAATAATAATGGTTCCACGGACGACGTCATGCACAAGACTTAAGCAAAATGTCATCTTCTAAGCATGTCTAATCGGATTAATGTCGAGTCGTTGGAGTTATTTTAAAATTGTCAACAGATGCAATTATATTCAACACGCAAGTTTAGGGGAGCTTTGAAGATTCCAAGTTTAACTTTAAACGATGAATTCTAAGCATGTAATCTCGTCGCTTGCCTTGAAGTCTTTCTTGACTCTGAGAGACCATGTAGATTGGGTCAATTTTCAAATGTGTTTGAGACGTCCTACGATCGTCCATGAGTAACTAGGGACAATTTGCTAAATGTGCCAAGCACGTCGGGGTTTACACCGTCCCGGTAATTAATCCTCTGGGATGCTCCTCATCAAACGCTCCAAAGATGGGATGTGTGCATGCCACGTTAAAAAATATGTGAATTTACTGTGCCATTCCTATTGGGTTGGTTGACCAATGTATCTTCGTGATCATTATGTCTTGAGATAAAAGGTCAAACACTCTCACAATGTAACCCTTGTCCCTCCGCATGATATTTGTTGCGAATATCGGACTTGAACCCAATTAATAACCAATAACATATAGCTTTGATTATTGTCCGTGTATAAAAGATATGAAGAGACTATTAAATTGGGGAAAATCACCAATAACTTATTTTTTTGTCATTTCAGTCCTAAACCTTTTATAATTGTGTCAATTCAGTCCATCCGGCCACTTTTGGCCAGCCGGCGATGACGTGGACGCCGGCCGGCTGACGTGGCATTATTTTACATTTTTTTTCCTTTATTGTTTTCCTTCTTCCCCCTATCCGGTCCGGCCAGGGGGAGGCTCGCCGGCGAGGTGACCTCGCCGGCCATGGGCGATGGCGAGGCCTCGCCCAGATCTGGCGAGACCTCACCGTCGCTGGGTGAGGTCGAGCTCGCCCGGCGACGGCAAGGTCTCGCTAGATATGGGCAAGGCCTCGCCGTCGCCCATGGCCGGCGAGCTCGACCTTGCCATGGCCGGGCGAGGTCGACCTCGCCCATGGCCAGCGAGGTCGGCCTCGCCAGCGAGCCTCCCCCTAGCCAGTCCGGCCAGGGGGAAGAAGGAAAAAAAATTAAAATAATGCCATGTCAGCCGGCCGGCATCCACGTCATCCACATCAGCGCCGGCCAACCAAAAGTGGCCTGATGGACTGATTTTGCACAATTGTAAAAGGTTTAAGACTGAAATGGCAAAAAAAAAAAGGTTTAGGACTGAATTGGCACAATTGCAAAAGGTTTAGGACTTTTTTGGTAATTTTCCCATTAAATTGAGAGAAGGATTATTTTTCAATAGGGTACATGTATATAAATTGCACTGGTCCACCAAGTTTGCTTCATCTATGAAGTGAACAATCAGGTGAACCATAATGGTGAAGAATCCGGGACGAATTTTAAAAAGATGGAGTATACTAATTGAAAAAAAGCATATAAAAGGATGGACTTCAAAGACACGCCAAACATGTTTTCAAAATGCCTATTCTTATTGAAATTTTTTGGTTTTTCAAATTAAACATGCACTCAGGAATAGAAAAAATCGAAAATGAAAACTGAAAACTATTCAATACATCTGATAATAGCAGTAAATATTTACTTTCATATTGTATTAAGCAATAACAGAGTAAATTGATTTAAGTACACGTTGGTTAAATAAAAAGATAAAATGAAAGATGAATCACTACAAATACAGTTAAATTCAAAAATATATAATTGCATAGAAGGAATTTCTTATGAATCCATTACAAAATGAACTAATTTTGGAAAAAAAATGATAGTTTTCCAGCTTCACAACGAAATTAATAGTTTCTCACCAATCCGATCAAGAAAAAATAATGTCTTTAACGTGTTAATCTCATTTTACAATAAAAATCGAAATCTGATTTAATTTTGAATTTCACCGAAATGAAGGGTGTGTTTGTTTGAGTAAAATAAATTCTCGTCCGGACTTTCATGTATTTAGTTTGCCGAGAATGATTAGTCAACGGAAAATCATTTACGGTCAAAGAAAAATACCCATGCTTAAAATAAAATTAAAATGAATTTCCTAATCTGAAAGGGAATTTTTTTTTCTCAAAAGCAATTTTTATGCTTTTCTTTCATGAAATTTTTCTTGAAATAAGCACGTCCGAAATTTGAAAATATTTTCACGAACCAAATGGGCTCGAAGGTTGAGAATGTGAGAGTATCTCACGTGAGAATCGCACAGAACCTTGCGCCCCCGGTTAAACATCAGGTAGAAAGGCAGAACATTTTAAACGAAGAAAAATCAAACTCGTTGAAAGTAGGACCTGAGTTGACATCCGTGTGTTTGTTTCGTCCACATAAAGCCCCCAAAACTTTTTTATTTTTCAAAAAGGTTGTCCTTTACGGACCCCAAAAAAAAAATAATAATAATAAAAAGGGGGTCGTCATTTTCTTCTTTTTCTTTTTCTTTTTGTCTTTGCTTTTCTGCTTTTTCCAATTTCCACTTGCATGACTGGCTCTTATCTTGGCTTTATCTACCCCCAACTTTACCGTCGGCTCCTTACCACGTGTCTCTAGAAGGTTTCTCGGAGGGGGCTAAAAGAGTAACTTCCCACTTCAAGGAGTCGTCCGGCAGTTCGACGAGGCTGTGATCCAGACCGAACTTTTTTTGTCACGGATCGAAAGCGGAAAAGTCGTTGTTCAGGTCTTGTTAAAAACTGTCGTGAAACGTTCGTTAAGCACTTGATTAAAGAAATTTTGTAATTTTCAATGTGTTATCTATTTCGTGTATTTGAAAATGAAAATATCTCTCTAATGGATATGATTAACGAGTACATCCAAACACTGACTAACAAGATTCAACTATTTTTCGCTTCCTCTTTCATTTTATATGGTTCAACCGGAAATTGAGTATGTTCATGAAACTTGTCTAGCCGCCTGACAAAAGAAAAAGGCTAGCTAACGGTATTCGCAGAATACACTACGACAGTCAAACGCCTTTTTCTTCCTTTTACTTTGTAATTTTTGTTTGCTTTTGCCCTCACAATTTAGGAGGAGAAATTTCCCCATGGACGGAAATGTCTCATCGTGTTCAAAAAATTGTCGGTTTTACACGCCGAAATGGTACTCTCATGAATATCCTTTCACATTTCAACCGCAAATATATTATTGCATGCATTAACGTGGTCAAGAGTTGATCTGAACGCCAATGAAAATACGTGTGGACTAGATAAAGAATCTTCATCCAATTGCCGAATGATTAAGATGCGGGGAAAATTATCATATCAGGCAGGAAAGATATAATTTTCAGCATATGAATATGAGACGAAGAGTCTAATGCCCCGTCTTAAACTTTGAAACCCATATTTTTCCTTCAGGCTAACAATAAGCACACGTATGTAAATTCTCTATTCCTTTATAATATCCCAATTCGATTTACATGTTTCCGATCTCTATAATTTCCAACTTTATTTTGGTCTAAAATGCACATGTCATCATCCAATGAGGGGAACGCGGATTAAAAGACAATGTGAATAGATGAGGTCGAAAACT